GCTGTCATATATGTCATTGCGCCAAAGTTTGGAAAAACATTTGGAGGTTACTGGACAAAGGTTTTTTTTTTCAGTGGTGGGCATATATTGCAATTGCATATATGGTACCTCTGTTAGGATACTTCACACATGCTTGGCATTAAATTACTGTCTATTATATCGGTACTTAACTGTAATATTATTGCACAATCTATATTAATTTGGGATGATAGTTATCGATGATTCTGAATGAGATACCTATTATTCTGATCAAGAATATACTCCAAAAAAATAAGGCCCTGCCAGAGTCTTCAACAATATCCGTATCCCACATAATCTGGCAAAACAAGAACCTTAATAAAAATGGCCATTCTTAGTGACTTTTATGATAACTTTACTGTCAGTTTTGTCAAATACGTCAGTACCACTATTTTAGGGTTACCTACTTCTAAAGTTATTAATGTTACTTATAGCCAACTGATGACATCACCTGTGTAAAAATATTTTGACAAATTTCACGTCACTCCAATCATACATACGATATAGAGGGAAATATCAACTATTCCAAACAAGAATTTTCGTTTTCAAAGGAGTTTGACTTTTTATAGTCGCCTTTGGTTTATGCCAGTACTCCTACAACCCCTTACGATTATAAGAACATAAATTTTAATAAATGAAATCGTTCTTGTTTTCGGGGAGAGTGAGTTTAAAGCCGAAGGGAGTCCAATCGCTAATGGACTAATTGAAATAAACAAGTCCCGAACAATAGGCGTTTCCTTCTACAATGCACTTCCACCCCACATCCGCAATCTACCAGGGTAGCTATTCTTGAATTCGAGGGAATAGAAAACCGGTTTTTCCGCAACGAACAAAATTTGTATTTTTGTCTCATTCTTCCTTCAAAATTTCTACTCGCCGAGATTCAAGAATAGATACTCAGGGGAAAAGTTTAAAGAGCAAGTTAAAAATATATTACTGGACATGTGTCTATACAACATTAAAGATTATTTTGTAAGAGTGAAACATATTACCTAATATTTTTAATTTGTTCATAAACACAGTTTTAAATGCTATTTCAATAATATCTCAAAATCCCGTTGATTAATTTTTTGGTCTAGGGAGATTTTTAAACGCGCTAAAAACCAGTTGCGCCCAAGATTCAGGTTCCAGGAGTGAAAGCTAAAATAGACTTAAAACGTGTGGGGATATTTGAGATCTATAATGTACGACATAAAAAATAAGTATTTCTATTTCAATTTGGTTACGTGTGATACGGGTATTAATTGTGAAGACCCGATACTATAACTCATTGAGGCTTGATTCTTATCAGTACAACATTTAAACCAATAACTTTGAAAGGTGGTACTTCTGCAATCTATTCACTTCAGAAGGAGTCACATCTTAATGCAGAGATAACAGTGTCTTTAAAGTAAGTTACCTAATTTTCTCACATACTTTATAAAACTCAGGGTGATAATACTACTAGTTTTACTTATTTACTTTATAAAATTATTTAGTTGCAAAAAACTATCTTGACGAGTCATTTCGTTGTTTTAGAATTTTTATAAAATTTTTAGAATATTTATAATTTAGAGATTTTTTAAATCTGAAATCAGGACCATTGTAGCATATGAAATAATCTGTTGAAAATATCTCAAAATTAAATACTTACCTGTGGCCAAAAAAGGCTACATGAAGAACTTTTTATTTATTTTTCATATAAATGTATTGTGTATTCATTACACGAACTTAAACATACAGGGAGTAGTCATTTAAAGACTTGGTAGTAGACGAGGACAGGGGCGGCCCAGTGCGATAACAAGTGGATTCAATATAAACTCCAATGCAGACACACACACCATTTAATTTAATGAAATTTTATCTGACACTAATTATAATTATACTAATTTTCAATCATAATTAACTAACTCATGTCATACTTTGTTATTTTTTTTCAAATTTACCATTTTGGAAAGATTATCCTTCTTTCTTTGATACTTATATCTAATTTTTCTTTTTACTACCTTAGTTTAATATTTTTTAATAATTTTTATATTTTTTAGTTCTTATTTTTATCATTTTAATATGTTGTTATATAATAATAATTTATATATTGTTCTATAATTGGATTAAGTTCTGTTGGGCAATAAATTATTTATTTTATTTATAATTGCATCAAGCTTAACCCGGGAGTACACGCGTGTCGGTCGAAAGGACCGAGCGTTAATAAATTCAGTAGTAACGCTATTGGTATAAGGGTGATGCTACTGATCTTCTGAGAATGTCCGAGGCGTTATTCTACTACTGGTGCAACAATATTTTAGTTTTTATCTGACAGTGTAGATTTATTAGTCCCTCATCTGACTGCAAAAGTGAGACATGCTGTTTTTTATTGCTATTTCTAGTTGGGTACAGGGAAAAATTTTCTTCTAGACGTCTATAACAATAAAAACAATCCCCTTGTAAACATTTTTTGTCGTCCGGTATTGCTACTTTCGGTGTAAGTATAGAAATTTCTCAACATCGATATTTATTTAAAGTGAACAGTAACTCAAAACTGGGCATGCAGTCGATTTGACCCTACGCGTGTAATGACGTAAGTTTTTTGGCGCGTGTAGTGCCGGGTTAAATAAAAGTTTGTTTGTTTATCATCTTCAATTTAATTCAAAACCTTAATTTCGCCGTTTCGAACTTTTTGTGCTAAATTAATTTCTACTAAATTCAATGCATTTAGAAAACGTTTAAATTTTCGAATGTTCCTCTGTTATTCTGATAATTTGACAACCATGTGTGATTGTGGCAGTCTAAAATTAATCGCGTCATCAATGACGTGCATTGGATTTTACATTGAATCCAGTATATATTGCGCCTCACCCGTTATTTTGGATAAATTCATTTACAATTAGAAAGATTAAACATATGTTTAGAATTAGATTTTTTTTATATAAAAATACATAAATTTTCATGCTAGTTCAGAGAATGAAAATACATTGTTTATAACCCAATCAATGAAGCGCTTCGGCAGGGTTACCTGTAAAAAAATAGAATAAAGCTACAAATTGGTATGTTGGTCCAGTTCGATGTCCTGATGATCCCTCTTTTCAATTGCTTCCGGACTATCTGGCATGAATTTTAGTGTTAAAAAATAAATCGATTTATTAAAACGCTGCGCAAACATCTGAAATTAAATGGTAGTTTGTGCAACAAGAGTGCATATGATGTTCATGTGCGATATGAACAATCCTCTCGACTTGTACAGTATATTTTTTCTACGCCACAATAAGGAAAATCTACAAATTTAAAAAGTCCTATTAGGTTATTCAGGCAAAATTAACTAATTTTAAAATAATTTATGACCTCAAGGGGTCTATTCTGTAACATTTTAGTTCATTTTAACCCCCAGGTTTTTAACCCAACTCTATTACATATTCTATCAATTTAATTGTATTATTAGCTATTTTATAGCCAATCGCAATTAAAATAGACATGGCAACGAAAGAAAGTGAATTGAAATTAAGCTCAACGCAGCTTTAAAAATAAGAAAAATAATATATTTGACATATAATCATTACTGACATAAGTTATAATTTTACCCAAATAATACAGAATACAAAATTAAAAATAACATCCGTTTATTTTTATAACCCAGAGTTAATTTTAACCTAATTTTAAATTGATTTCCTTTAGTTTTATTAAAGTTATGGTTTATTTCCTAAATTTAGAAAAAATAAAAATAGAAATGCTATTATTTATCGAATATACACGAGAATAGTTCATTTTAAATTAGGGATAACTTTAATGAAATTTACAATCAGCCGATTTTGAGCGCTCATCATTCCCTCAATTGTCAAGCTATCGACATTGTGAAGTGTATTTATTCAGGTAGAATGCAGCTTTTTTAAAATTTCAATACGGCCATTCGTTCGGCCCATAGCACTCGCGAAATGATAACAGTGCAAAACATGACAGCGTGGCCTTCAACTACAAGTGTTCTAGTTCTAGAGTGTAAACTATAAATAGTAAGGTAGTACTCTCGCATTTTTTTTTTTGTCACAAATATCCTCTAGATGAAGACTGGAGAAGAACTTCTACTTTCAGACTAGCAGTTTGCGCAGCGTTCTCAAAAAATCAAAAACACTCCTAAAAAAATGCAAGCCAGATAACCCGGGAGCAGTTGAAAGGTGATCATCAGGACATAGAATTGGACCACCATACCAATTTGTATCTTTATTCTAGTTTTTCTCAGGTAAATTACTTTATTTGCTGGCCAATAGTTGTTTTTGTGGACTCTTTTAAGTTTTTATGCAGGGTGTTCAATAAAAAATGGACCAAACTTCAATGTAGTTAGTTTGGACAAAAATAAGTTCATTTAAGTCAATTTACCTAAGTACAATTTTGTTTCCTTAAGAAGTTATAGGGCGGATAAAATATTTTTTTAATATTTTTATATAAATACAATTATTTTTTGAATCAATACTAATAATAAACTACTAAAAATTTAATAAAGTTGTAAACAAGTTCAGATTAAGTTTTCTCTGAAATGATTTATTTTAGCGACATGCATCAAGTATACCTTTTTTTAAAGTAAATTGAATGCTTTTTCAAAATAATTATTGATTTTTCAAGTAAAACCTATTGGCACGCCAGTTTAGGAGGTCCTCTACATGTAATGTAACAAACAAGCTAGTATTCGTTTATCATACAAAAAATTTATTTTTAAAAAATTTGAGCATATTTACTCAAAAAATAATTGAATTATCGTAAAAATAAAAGAACAATATTTTCCCCACCTTAACTTCTTAATCGAACAAAATTTCACTAAGGTAAATTTACTTAAATTACCTTATTTTTGTTCAAACTAACTTTATCTGAAGTTTGGCCCATTATTTACTGAACACTCTGTAAACGATGAAACATAAATGTTTAATAACTGTAATTATATTAGTTTATAGAATAGCAATAAATTAGGAGCATTAGTTGGGCATACAATTATTGGATAATAGTATTTAAAAGTTGCTTACCTGTTGCCAGGGATGCGATTTGATTTGTGGAAATTTAAATTCTGTATAATTTGGATTCATTTCTTTAATCTGTTCTTTGGTAGGTGTTCCCAACACCTTAATGATTTCCACCAACTGATCAACTCCAGAGTCTCCTGGAAAAATAGGCTGTCCTAAAAGTAGCTCTGCTAAAACACACCCTGCACTCCAAACATCAATCTTTGTCGTGTAGTCAATTGCACCAAATATTAATTCTGGTGCTCTATAATAACGACTGCAGATATATGATACATTAGGTTCGCCTTTTACAAGATGCTTCGCACTTCCAAAATCACACAACTTTAACACTCCAGTCTCTGGATCTAACAACAAGTTTTGTGGTTTTATGTCCCGATGACATATACCTAATGAATGAATGTATGCTAGCGAACGGAACAATTGGTACATATATAACTGAAAAAAAAAAAATTGTATTAATAATTATGTTTACTTTAGTTTATACATAAAACAAAAATATTTCGTTTAATAATTAAAGTCGTTTTGTACAAAATTTTGTGCTCAATGTTTAAAGGCGTAAATTTCAATAAAATCTTACTTGAAGTAAGTATGTATCAGTGGCCATGTTTATTCCTTTGCGCCCCTCTATTTTTAAATGTTACAAATTTATTAAAAAAAATTGCTGATTAGTTCGTTCTTGAAATAGACTTACACATCATTTACTTTCAAAATAGTATTGCACAACTAAAAATTAGAACATATCTACGATTACCTGAAAATTTACCTAACTACTAAAAAAACTGTATTTGTCTACTTTTTGACCGGGAGGTAGCGACAGTTTTTGCGAAACGCCATTAAGGGTGATTATGTTTTACATGGTTAAGAAGTGAAATAACTGGAATATTAAAAAGTTATAATTAAACATAAAAGTACAAAACAAATTAAATTGTCATATTTTTATTAATTTAAGTTGTGTTTCTTTGCGTTTAAAATATGGAAAATATTGAAGAATATACTAACCAAGATATTCTGAATTTATTTTACATTCATGGGGAATATATTTTGTAAACGTACGTTTAATGAACGATACCCTCATTTACCACCAAAGAACATACAGAAATTTGATAGAATCGAAGCTAACTTTTTGAATAATTTTAAACAAAACCCGAGTAGAAACCGTCAACATTATGTCCGAGAAGAAGAAGTTAATGTTATTAGAATATTTCACCGCGTATATCGTCACGCCTCCATCAGAATGGTGATCAAATAAGAACTGAATTAGGCGAATGGTTATTGGTGCGAATTCAAGAAGATCACCAAATTTTAAACAAAATTTTGTGGTCAGACGAGTCAAAATTTACCCGTAAAGGGATCATCAATCGTAAGCAACGTCATTTCTAGGCAAACAAAAACCCACATTTTTATCGTGAAGCAAAATTTCAGTATGAATTTAGTTTTAATATATCACCAGTGATCGATTTTGAAAAGGCTTTACCTCAGAAATATTCATTAGAATTCTTAGAGAAGTAGTTACCGATGATGCCTCAGCACATTCAACATACGCTGTAAATCGAGAGATAACAGCACTATTTGAAGATCCATGGATAGGTCTAAATTGTCCTTGGCTTTGGCCTGCAAGATTGCCAGATCTAACTCATGTAGACTTTTTATAGGGCCATATTTAAAATTTAGTATACTCTATCCAAATAAATACAAGAAAATAATTAGAGCAGAGTTCGGAATGAATTTAACGAGTTAGATGGTGATATTATTCGTACTTTATCAAAAAATGATTATTGAAACTTTTTAAACAACATATTTTGTTGCAGCAAACTGAAAATATTTTTAAAAAGTACATCCCAATTACTACCTCTGGCTAAAATATCAAGTATCAAATAGTACCAGAGATAAACGACTTTAAGAAAATGTCTATCGGCGAGTAAAAATTTAGAAACAATTGAATAATACCAAATCCGCTAGAACTAGAATATGCAAATAGAGTATAATTGTTTACAGAATAGGAGTATAATTGTTTACAGAATATAGTGTATTAAATTTAAAATAACGAAGATAGTGGTCACTTCCGGTATAACCGGAAGTCGCACATAGTTCATTTTATTTTAATAGAGCATATTCGATAGTTTGTAACCAGATATTGGCGAAAATACAAATGTATTTATTCTCCATAAACCTGTTGGAAGTTGACTCAATAGTCGCTTTCTTTTTAACATTAATCTGAGCTAACTTACATCGACTAAGCTTAGTTGTACGTTCTTTCTGTGATTGTAAGTCAGAATCTTACTTCCCCCTTACCGATGCTAAGGTACAGGGACCTTGACGTCGACCATAAACCATAACAGAAAGTAAGTGTTCTATGCATCTAACATACGAACAAATATATCCTATGAATTCATTATTTTAAAGAGAGTAAAAGACTGACAACAGGGGGAAAGATCGTGGTGTCGAGTGTTAAAGAAATTATAAAATTAGATAAAAATATTAATTGTTTTTAAACGGATGACATGGGACACGGTCTGTCAACTAAAATTAGCGTTCTTTTTACAACTTAGCTTAGATCAGAATCTAACTTTTAGCTAGTCAAGTATACCTGTAAAAATAAAACGAGTACTATGTATGAGGTGTTCTTGACACTACGATATACGAAGTCTGACAATTAAATAACGAGATTGCTTATGAGAGTTTTATTTTTAAAAATATTCTACAATCTAATGCTCCTCTTCAATGTACTCCCCTCACCTAGCCACACACCGTTCTATTCGTTTTTTTTTCATTGGTCAAAGCAATGCTGGATGGAAGACTTCCATCGACTCGAACAGGGTTCCTTTTAAGGCAGAATTGATTTTCGCAAATAGGAAAAGTCACAGGGTGCTAAATCAGGCGAGTAAGGGGCGTGTTCGACACTCGAGCGCCTCTAGCGGCTAAATAACGTTTCAAAGACAGCGCGTTATGGGCAGGTGCGTTGTTCTGATGCAAGATCCACGACTTTTTTTTCCACAACTCCGACTGTTTCTTACGAAACCGCTCTCGCCGTGTTTGCCAAAACTTTCAAATAGTAAGTTTGTTTTACGGTTTGACCCCTTGGCACCCATTCATTCATTCATCACGATGTTGTTGATGTCATAAAAAAAACGATTAGCATGGTTTTTAATTTTGATTTCGACATTCGGCCTTCAGAAAACCGTTTATACCATTCGAAAACATGCGTACGAGATTAAGAATTCTCATCATAGGCCTCTTTCAACAACTTATAGCGCTAAGCCGGAGTTTTTAAAATTTAACGAGAAATTTCAAATTGATCCATTACTCGAGTGTCACACATTATCGGCACACTTTCGTATATAACCTCTATAGAAAAAATACTATTACAGCGACAAAAACGTGTTTTCGTACTGGAATAGTAGACACTTGCAGCTGTGCACCGCTGCATTCTTTCCCCCTCTAGGAGGCCTTCTGCGGGCGCAGTCTCCTTATTTGTCAGATCTCGTATATATTTTGTATAAGTCTATTGTCATTAATATTATCTGTTGAAGTTGTCATATAGTTTTACAGAAAATATTTACTATTATTTTGATTAATAAAGGTATTCTCCAGATCAAAGAAATATACTATCACCGGGAAGATTTTAGCTCTATTAAAATCAAAATCTGTATAACTTTTAAACTAGTTAAAATAATGAAATACGGTTTTCACCAATCTACATTTATATCCGATTTTAGTCACATTTTAAAATTAGTAATTATGACACTTTGTAGTGAACCTGTGGTTTCTGCGGTTTAGTTTCCGTATACTTTTTTTGTTTAAATTTATCTTTAGGATAGATGACACTTTAAAATTTGCAAATCAGTTATTTTACTTCTATTATGTAAAAAATAACCACCTACAATGGCAGACAGAAGAAAATCGTTTCACAAAAACTGTAGGTGCTCCCGTTTTATATAATATACCTAGAGAATAAAAACACCTAAATTAAAATATTTTTCTCAAGAGCTGGATACAATGAAAAAATATTAAAAAAATGCCAATCACGCGATTTGTATATTTTGTCATTTTCAAAAAAAAAATATTCCCTAAATTATCTTTAATGTACAAAATTTTGTAGTAATAAAAATTATGCCAAGAATCGGATTCAGAGTTAAAAATTTTAAAACAATAAAATAAAATTTTGACAATAACTATTATTTCGGGAAAAGTAAGTCATGTTACAGGGATTGAACTACAATCATTGGTTCCTGTCAACCTAATAACTTACTTAATTTAAACAAAACAGTCTTGTATTTATTTAATTTGCCAAATGTAATTTCTTTTTAAACTATATTAGTTTCCCTGTACCTAATACAGTTTTCGAATATTATGATTTTTTTAATCTCATCATTTTATATACAATTTCTTGTACTATTTAAAGCTCCGTATATGTTGTGACAATACTCAATATTGTAATGATTTGTTTAATGTATGGAGTTAGAAGGTAGGGAGACGCTATAAGCATCTTTTTAAACATTCAAAACGGTATCACAGGGCGTGGCTTTCGTCAACCCAATATGGCCGATCCGCCAGATACGGATTATTTTGAATGCAACCCTAACCTACATTTTTTTAGGATATGTTATATTTCATTAATTGTTATAAAACGAATGATTAAGGTTATAATAACTATTTTTCAGTAATTTCTCTTACTGATAAAATAAGTTTCAAGGAATAAAAAATGTGCAAGAGGAAGATTTTATGTTGCCTAGTATTTTATAAAATAATTATAAAGTCTAGAGATGTCATTTGATATATCATGGTTTAACATAATTGTTATGTTAGATCGAAACTGATCTAACATAAAATAATCAAACAGTTGGTAGTTATTAATAAAAAATATATTATGAAAAAATAATATAAAAATTATGTTTATATTGACCATTAAACAATACAATTTTATTGTTGTGATGTCTTATGCTATCAATTTTTTTCATTTTATTTTTAATTAGGAAAAACATCCTAATATTTGTTACCTGCAGCTTTATTTAGTATTATTCTATTATGGTTATACAAGGGATGCTGAACAAAACTGTAAAATTTGCAAATATATTTTTATTTATAAATTGACTACCCTACACATTCTACTGAAATAAGCTCTTTTTTATTATTTGTTCACATTAAAGACAAACGTCTAACATCCTTAGAGGGATGGATATACTGTATATGCTCTTTTCGTTTGTCTATAAATGAAAATATTTATTCACGATTGGCTGTTTAAAGGATTTGTGAACACAATATGGCGGAAGTGAACCCGTCTTAGACCACGTAACAGCGTCTCCCTACCTTCTAACTCCATGGTTTAATGGCTCTACAACACTGACCGACTAGTGGCTAGATTTTGAACATTCTTCCGCAACAGAATTTTCGTGATCATCTCAATATTCAATCCTTTAAAGACCGACACCAACAAAAATTCACTGCGGTAGAGTCCGATTGCAATAAGAGTAACATCGCAATGTTATAACCATTATTTCAAACTTAAAATATAATATTATTATGATCTATAGCTATTAATAAATAAAGATTAAGTAGCGTTAGGTTTTAAAAATAATTCCTATATTACTACAATATTAACAACACGCCTTGAAATCCAGTAGATGGCGATAGTCATTTAGTGACTCCGCTAAGTGGAGACGCAGCTGTGTTTTTATTGTAATCGGATTTTATATAGTAAAAATCGTTTCAAGATATTTCGTTGTCACTTACTAATAATATGATTATTTCAATGAAAAAACCTTCAGTAGGTGGTCGTTAATCCGAACAGAAATAGTACAGGATGGTAGGTATTTAAATACCATAAATTGTTTGCTGGAAAGTGTTTCGGTATAATCATTTTAAAAGAGAATTTTAGTTTATTTTAAACATTTGACTTCGAAAGAAATAATGTCGGCGTCCTTGGACAAAAAAGTGCATTTTTCGCCTGACGCGAAAGTTATTGTGAAAAATATTTATGAATCGTTAAAGAATCGAGGTTTTAGTGTAACTTCCGCAATAGAAGTTAATACCAGTATCTATAATAAAATATATTGTCAATAAACAATACGTAAATTAAAAAACGAAGTGACGCTGATAAGACGAAGTATAATATAAAAATTATAAAATTAAATACACCTACATTGGTGCCAACTTGGGATTTGTGAAAAACCGATCAATTTGAGAGAAGTTCAACTCATTGCACATAATTGAAACTAATGTACTTGAGAAGTGGAAATAGAAAAATGGATAAAGCAATAAGAGAAAAAACATACAGTAGAACCCCGTCAAAACGAAATATCTCGAAGCGGTCTTTGCTTTGGTTTTTACGTTAATAGACTTCAATAAAAAAAAAAAAAAAAATTGGGTTATAAATAGCTTACCTTTATAAAGCTGATAGGTATAGTTTGCTTTGACTTGCTATAATGTCGTGCTACCTTATACACGGTCTCAGGGATGTATTCCAAAACCAAATTCAGGTACACCTCATCTTTCTGAAATAGAAACAGAATAATTAAATATAATTATTATTGATCAATCTTCTGGTGTATTTTATTAGACTAATTTTAACATTGCATCTTTTCACAAACTAGTAAAATATCTAAAGAATTTCTTTTCGGGACTGCTAGCACTGTTCGTTTCATAAGATCATTATAATAAATTCAAATCGAAGGAAACGTCGTGGACAGGTTAGCATTTTTTGGGTGGCTTCGCTATCCAAAAAACACCAACTACAGTAGAATATCCTAGGGTCCAATTACAATAAGAAGAACACAACTACGTCATCATTTGACAACTTAATTGATTATCGCCGCCTACTGAGGGTTTAGTTGCGTGGTAATATTATAGGAAAATAGTAAATATGTTTTTATACCCAAGAACTTATTCCTTATTTATTGATAGTTATAGATACTATATATTTTAAATTCGAAGAAATTGATAAGACGTAGCGGTGTTTTTATTGCAATCGGATTCTAGAACAGTTAAGGAAATATAAGTTGAATATTAGTCCACAGTACGTCTACCCCTGCTTTGCTTGATTACCACTTATTAAAACTTCGTGAGTAGCTTTTATTCTATAAAAATTCACGGAAACGCTTTGTTTTCTTCTGCGCGACGCCTGAACATGTCCATTTTACAATGTTATGTAATACAATACACTGCGACCTAAAAGATATATTGTACGCTAATACAAAAAGGAAATGTCTCAATGCCTATAAAGACCCTTCCAATCATATTGTCTCAAGGAAGTGTAGGATTTGTAGTGGCTTCAAGTTAGGTAAATCTCCCTCTTCTATTTGATATGCTCCTAGGTATAGTGCCTTTGAATTCTGAAGTGTTACACATTCAGTGAGAATGTGAATGGAGGTTTCGTCCTCCTCCTCCTCGCAGAATCTGCACTCTGCTACTCTAAGGTTACTAAGGTGTCTTTTGAGTAGGCAATGCCCAGTAAGGGCCCTTGCATATATTATGTAGCCTATTCTTGCTCAGGCAGATACACGCTTGCTGGTTATATTCACCCAGAAGTATCTTAGCCTATCTGAGCCCCAAGAGATTATTCCAATTATCGGTTCTTCTACTGCCCAATTCTTTTTTAATCTCTCCTAATATTGTGTTACTGCTGATACCGCAGAACGGCTCAGGTCCCACAAAGGGTGTTTAAGCCCCTTTTCTAGCGAGACTATCTGCAATCTCGTTACCCTGTACCCTGTTATGTCCCGGGATAGAAGTGAGAGTAAGTGTATTTTCCTCGCCTAGCTCATTCAATTTTTCTAGGCATCTCCAGACCATTTATAAGATGATTACGTAAGCTCAGCGCTTTGATGGCTGCTTGGCTATCGTACACGATGATAATCTCTTGTCTACGATAGTTTCTCTCGATGTTAAACTGGATACACTTGTCAATAGCGTGAATTTCCGATGCTTGGTTATTTTCCCAAACTTTCAGAGTGCCTGGTCACAGTTTATAGCTAAAGAATCAGTTCGCTCACTCTGCGTCGGCACTTTTGATCTCAATGTTCCAGTTTATACATAGCGCAACTCGGATTTGTATCCCTGCCGCATACAGAATCAAATCATAATAGCCCAGGAGCCCACTGCAAATTTTTACCGCCATCTAATAATGAAATAAAATATACCCCAAAAGCTTATAAAAACATTGTACTTTACCGAATCACCTGTGCCAATCACAATCCTGAGCAAAGGGTAAAAAAAAAATTATATTAAAAAAATCACATAAGGCATGCCAGCGCTAATTTTGTTTGCCCTTAAAGTTTTCCAGATAATAACATATTTAAATATATCTTGATATATATCGTTAACGGGAAACATTTTCTTCCTCTTAACATCGCACAAAAACATCTACACACGATTAGTAGGTAAAAATCATTAAAAATATGAATCAATTTTTGCTCATACAGCTTGCCATAGAAACGACAAAAGAACTACTATGATTATGGTTTAAAAGAATTGTCTAACAAGAGTTTATAATTATTATTGACTATCTCTGCAAAAGGTAGGTAAAAATATTAATAATTCAGGTTTAAAAGCTAGGTTCACAATGAATTAGGATTGTAATTTTCAGGGAAAACATAATTATCGCTGTCATGTCTTATGTGATTTTTTGAATATGAAAAAATTTTTTTAACCACTTTGCTAAGGATTAGAGATTGGCACAGGTGCAATTTGGTAAAGTACAATATTGGTACATGTCTTTGGAGCATATTACATTTTATCAGATGGCGGTCAAACAATAGCTGTCAGTGAGAAGGTCTGGTATATCTAAGGGGGTAGAGACATAGTCTTGCATCTTGAACGCTTTTTTCATTCAAAATACTAGTCACCAAGCCTGCCAATTTATAAAAAAATGTATCTTATTTTTATTATTATTATTATTTTTATTGTGTTTGACATAAAATATTTAAATGCAATCTATTATTTATGATTTTACGTATTGTAAACAGAAGACATCGTATGTCGCAACCCTGGATATATCAAATCTTCGCACTAGCAGTTCATTTGTTTGGAATGCCTAATACAATATATGACAACCGTCTATATTCAAACAGCAGTCTTCTGCGCATCCTGAATTTGTATCCCTGGAGTGGATGTTATTTCGGAACATCCAATTGGTCCGAGTGAGCTAACTGATTCTTTAGCTATAAACTGTGGCCTGGTTCTAGGCCCATACATGCCTATAACAGTTCCTTCTATGGTTTTGGAACCATTCGTATACTACTAAATAGCATGTCTTTCGGTTGCAAAGCACGATGGATTCTTGGCTCCATTCTTTTTTACAGCCCAGCTATGTGGTTTTGAAGTTTTTCATAAAACTGTATTTTTTTTTATTCCTATTATTTTACAATCTATTCATAAAGGAGAACTATAAGTACATTATATGAAAAATGGCAATGTCTTTTGGGGTAAAAACCCAGTGGTTGTAGGTACCCCTTAATTAATTAATTAACTACAACTACTTATGACAAGGGACAATAAAATATGTATATGTAACATTATATATGGATAAAATGAATATGTTCCGAATCGTAATATACGGAGTGGCCCAAAAGTCTGGAAACGGCCAATTATCTCGTAAATTGCTAATCCTAATTGTACAAAATTTGGGGTACACCTATTTTGGGATACGGAGATTCCAGATTTGATATTTGCAATGTTGTCAGATTTGCCGTTTCTCTTATATTATTAGTCACCCCTGTATATTCAGTCATTATTGGAATATCCTACTCAATACGAGTTCAACCATATTTAACACTTATGATTTTATGTAGTCTGGAAGGTTTTAAATAAATAAAATAATCATGGAGAAATGTAGTAGACGCATTCTACAATCGATTAGGGTACTGTCAACTCAAAAATGGAGCACATTTTGAACATTTGATAAAGTATGTTAAAAATAGTTTGTATTAAAAAATTTATTAAGACAATTAGGCGTTGCCAGACTTATTTTATAGGTGTACTCCAAATTTTGTACAATTAAGACCAGCAATTTACGAGATAATTGGCCGTTTCCAGACTTTTGGGCCACCCTGTATAAATGTTAAATTTCTTAAAACAAGTTAAAATTCTTATAAAAAATGCAAAAATTAAATCATAAAAATAATAGTATATTAAACAAGAGTTGTAAAAGTAACCCATTACGCACGAAGTGAGTGCGTAATGGGTGTTACAACTGGTGTAACGTACTATACTTTTTCTACGCCCACTTATTTTCTTCTATTAAATAAAGGACATATGCTTGTGTCGCCAAACCATAAATTTTCGATAGGTAGTTTCGTACCTTTTTTTGGATTTTAGCGGTAACAAATTATGTGTGGCAGCTTGGGCTTTTTCTAAAATCTCTGGTGGAGTGCTCATAATTTCATCACTTTTACTACTAACAGATATATTCATAGCTGAAGTTAAGAAAATGTTCGAATACAATATTTTGTATAATGTATAATGTGTTGCCGACATTTAGGGACATCACTTTTTTTAATTCAAAATGTATCTCGCTAAAACTAAAAGTTTTTGTTTTTCAATTCACTAAATTTATGTAAATAGAGCAAATAAAGTCGAACGTAGATAAAAATTTGATTGCAATTTGATTAAACTAAGAAATTTAAGTTTGCTTATCTCATTATATAAATGTTATTGTTAAATGTCATTTACAAGGAATGTTGACAGTGCAATTTTTAACGTTTACTGATATGGGCGTAGAAAAAATATTAAAATCGTCATTAGGTCATACGGGGTAAAGTTAAACCAGGTGTTTTTAGCAAGTTTGTTTGGGCGAGACTCAAGTTTTTTCCTGTAACTTTTACTAAACTTTTTAATTTCGTTTTTGATCATAGGTACTTGTAAATTATGAGCAATATTATTAGGTACAAACCACGGAGCACTTGCTATCATTCTTAATAACTTTGATTGAAACATCTATGATTTATATATTTGAATTAAAGTTGAACCCCAGCTGGATTCCATATAGGTTTGAAGATGACCTTGTATACCAACACCTTGTTCTCTGGTGACAATTGGGATTTGCGTCCAATAATCCAGTGTATCTGGAAAAGTTCAAGTCCAAGCTGCTTTCAATGTTGGTTTTCTGTCCAAATGCATTCCAAGATATTTGGCATTATCTCTTTGCGGACTCTCTTTGTTGTTTAGAATGACTGCTGGACAGTTTCCTCGTCTGTTTGTGAAGGTCACATGAGTTGATTTTACTTTGTTGACTTTTATTCTCCACTTATTTAACCATACCTGTAGTTTATCAAGTTCTGTTTGTAATATTTGGGATGAAATTTGGGTTTGCATGTGAAGTTAATGCAATTGTATCGTTAGCAAATGTGGCGGTTAACGCATTGGTTAATGTTGGTAAGTCAGATGTATATATTAGGTATATAAGCGGACCCAATTCGCTTCCTTGTGGAACCCCGGCAGTTATTTGATGGAGTGCTGATGTTTTACCATAAAATGTCGATCTTTAAGGTAGGATTTA